GGCCTACCTACCTCCCTCACCTGCCTGGAGTCTTCGATGCTGCCCATCCGTCTGCCCCCTTCCACTGGGATACAAGTGCTGTGAAGGCAAGGATCCTGGAATGGAAGGTTCTGTTCCTTGATGGGCTCCCAGCTGAGTGTCTGGCACAGTGTAGGGGCAGTTAAAAGCTTAATAAATAATGAGCATGCAGTACAGGATTTCTGGGGGGAAAAGTACACCTGGAAATAAACTACAACAGTTTACAGTAGTCCTTCCTGGGGAAGCATTACAAGTAAGCTTCATGGTTAACGTCATACATGTCCATATTGTTTTTACTTGTTTTTTGAGGGGGAGGTAACTCGGTTTATTTATTTAGTTATTTCAATGGAGGTACTGGGGACTGAACTCAGGACCTCGTGCATGCTAAGCATGTACTCTCACCGCTGAGCTATAACCTTCCCCACCATGTCGGTATTGTTTTGATTTTTAGAAAATTAACACTGCTTGAATCTTTCCATTTTTAAGAGGCAACGAAGAACTTCAGGTAAAGTTCCTGACACAATTGGCACAAAATACTCAATGAACTGTTAAATATTACCTAAACCTTACGTAACTAGCCGCCTTCCTGGGAAGCCTACAGCATCCTCAAGGAAGCCCTGTTTTAGTTCCCTAGATGGACTGAAAGGCAGGACAACATGGAAAAAGTCTATTTATTCGAGGGCAACTTTGAAAACAAAGCCTCAGTAGTCCGATGGGACCTACTTCCCCCATTTCTACTTCAGCCCTTTCCCACAGGTTTCTGTCCTTCGCAGGCTAGAGCTTGATGCAGAAGGGGCAGATGGCCTAGATGTACTTATACACAACCTTGGAGGGCACAGTTTGCAGGTGCAGACGCACAGGACACTTGTAGAAGTGGGACAGCAGGGTCTCGCTGTAGCCCACGAGGAAGTAGAACTTGTGTGCGGGCAGCTGTCTCAGGACCAGGGCACAGATCTCCAGCTGGTTAGCCCGGCGCTTGAGGACAAGCTGGTCAGCCAGGCAGCCTGGGAAGGTGCCCAGCATAAATTTGCGGAGGAAGACATCTTCCACTGTCCGCTCTGCGGCATGCTCCTCCCCATCCAGGTTACCTGAAAAGAGAAGGGCAGCACGGCACGTTGGTCAAAACTCTAGCGGTAACATCCAAGGGCCCTGGGCACTTGATTCCACACCCGACCCCAGCCTCTTCTCTTTTGTCCTATAAAGGGAATAAAAAGAAATACACTTTAAAGGCAAAGTACATTATGCCAATAACCCCCAAACAAATCCTGTGAAGTACATATGATCAGTACCCTTGTTTTACAAAAAAAAATTCGCCAGGGCACAAGACTCAGGTGATTCCTCTGCCAGCCCCCTTCCCGCTCCTTCTTCACCACCGTATAGAAGCCCTCGCCAGCCCACGGGCCAGAGATGAGGCCACCAGCTACTTCTGAGTTTAAGGATGTGAGTTCTCTCACTGGCCAGCGCCGTGACCTCAACCACTGGATTCTCGTTCTGGACCCTTAGCTGTTAAGGGTCTCTACACCCACCCCCAGACTTTAGACCCAGAACTTGAAATGGGTGGGGAAAAGAAATCCGTATTTTAAGTACGTTCTCTAGATACATGTATCTCAAACATTCAAGTTGAGACTCTCATAGGAAACAAAATACTATTGATTCTCATTAATCCATAGTAGTTATATTCTATAAACTCACTAGTTATGTTCCATAAAATCACCGTGAATAATGAATTAGCAAATAATGAATCACTGTTCCTGATGGAAATACATGGTTAGGTTTCTCAAGCCTTTGGTTACAATATTTTTGTCAACAGATCAATATGTAAGGTTTTATTTTGTTTTTCTGTTTAAAGATATCTACGTGTGGCTGGTTAACACTGAACTCTTTCCCAACACCTTTGTTAACTCATGCCTGAAGAAAGCTTTTTTATCATGTTTTCCCTGTAAGGTAAATTGAAGCCTTCTTGTGCTTAGGAACACTAGACAGAACTTCAGTATTATATGCTACTTTGAGGCAGTGGAATCACCAAAAAAAAAAAAGCACAAAACTTGAAAACACAGCACTAATACATTTCAAAATGGATATCTGTTTACAGCATGAAAGCTGAAGCTAAAAGGCAGAGCCTTGCTTGCATGGCAAGATGCATGAGGGGTTCTGCTCCGCCCATGTCTCAGAATGAACG